TTTAACGACTCCGCTTTTAGACTGCATAAAAATTGATGCGGATGAGGGAACAGCTAAAGGATTGTTTTCATTATTTGAAATTTGTCCTAAGAAGTTTAATTTAAAATTTGAAAATATTGTGGGGTATTGTTCAGATAATGCCAGCATAATGACGGGCAATAAAGAATCATTTAAAACATACTTGCTTAGTAAAAATGAAAATATTGTTGTAAGTGGTTGTGTTTGTCATAGCGCACACCTTGTAGCTTCTGCAGCATCGGAATGTTTGCCAACTAATATAGAATGTTTTTTGCAAAATATTTATTCATATTTTTCTAGAAGCCCAAAGCATCAATCAATTTTGGAAGAGTTCCAGGCGTTTTTTAAGAAGGAAAAACAGAATTTTGAGACCAGCCAAGACTCGATTGCTCTCATTGTCTAAATGTGTAGATCAGTGGGAAATTCTAAAAGAATTATTTAAAGTTGCACTAATCGAAGATAAAAATCCGACTGCAAGTGGAATTTATAATGAATTTTTGAACCCTTTTGTAACAGCATACTTTTTATATTAAATATATTTTACCTCTATTTAATGCATTTAACTGTCCTTTATTCCCCATTATTACCAAATAAAGTAAGAGGTTTATCAGACAACAGTGTGGAAATTTTGTTAAAGCGGAACTTCTTGTTGCTGAATCCCTATTTACATTAAATTTTTCCATCCCCATTGTTTACTACCATTAGAAGAAATTGGGCTTAGCCTGGAGACATAATATATTCAAAAATTTAGATAAAGGTGACGTTCAACAATTTAAGTTAAAATGCTTGAGTTTTTACCAAAAAACTGCTACCGACTCAATTAAAAGATTTCCTGATAAAGATACGTGGATGGAACATCTTGATTTTATAGAACCCAATAACGTTTTGAATTTAAAATTCACGGAGAATTCAATACATACTAAAGTTGTTTTAAAAAAATTTAAACATGTTGCTGATAGTAATTTGGCGTTTTCGGAACTAACTAAAATACAAAATTATTTTTCTTTCGAAGAAAAAGGACAGCTTAAACAAAAATCAGCGGTAGCTTTTTGGGGTGAACTGAAAGAATTAAAAAATTTTAACGACCAATATGTTTTTGCAAATATTGGGAAAATTGTTACCAGTATTTTGATAACTTCGCATGGAAATGCTGATGTCGAAAGAACATTTTCACATATGGCAGATGTAAATACCAAAAAAAGAAATAAATTAAGTGTTGACCTTTTCTGTTGTATTTTAAGGGTAAAATTGGATTTAAAACAAGATTTGAGTTGCTGTTTAACATATAAAATAAATGATAATCATTTGTCAAAAATGAACAATATTTATCAAAATACAGGCACAACTCTCGAAGAAGATTCTCATTTAAGTGATAGTGATAGTGAATAGGTTAGCTTAGTTTTTTGTTTATTTATAACTTATGTACTTCGTTATGTTTTTTTGAAACTTTAAATTTAAATATAGTTTTATTTTTTTTATTGGCACCTCAATTAAATAAGTAGACATTCCTTTGTAGCGACAAAGTAGCGACTTTTCGGATGGCTGGTAGCGATTTTTGGTCTGATCTACCTGGCAACACTGATCTAACCTCTAATAGCTAGTTGCAAGTGAGACGTCGTTGTGCGAGCATCGTGGACTTTTACGAGAGAGTGTTCGCACGTTTTCAACAATTTCGCAGGGTCCGTGAGACCCATCGTCACCATTTACGTGATTTTTTAATAATGGCATCTTCAAGACAAACAATACGTGCAACTGATAAAAATTTCGAAACTATTGCTCAGCGATGGTATGAAGAAGTAGAAAGTGACTTTAGTGATCAGGATGATGATATACAAGATCCCGATTATTACAGTGAGCACGATTCAACTTCAGAAATAGAAAATAATGAAGGTGACGACGATTCTGCTTCGGAAGAGGAACTTGAACCTGAGACGGAGGAAATAAATGTTAGGGCGTATTATGGAAAAGATCGTTTTAAATGGTCTATGTAAGGTATGTAATTGCTTCTTCTACTTATTTACGATATCATCTAATCTGATTCAATTTTTTTTATAGGTCCTACTCCCCCAGAGAACTGCAGCTCACAACATAATATCGCATTTGCCTGGTGTTAGAGGTCATCTGAGAGATCTTGGTGGTAATGCTTCCCACTACCAATTATGGAACCATATGTTTACGGATGAAATGTTGCAGGAAATTCTTACACATACTAACTCTAAGCTAAACACTATAAGAATAAATTATAAGATGGAAAATATGCCAGAATTAGCGGAACTAAATTTAAACGAATTGAAGGCATTTATAGGTCTTCTTTATTACACCTCGATATTTAAATCCAATCATGAAGACCTCGAATCTTTGCAACAGATGGGAGTGGACGTGATATCTTCAGATGCACTATGTCACTGACGAAACTCTACATAGAGACCTCGATGTCCCTTACCTAAAGGACTACATTAAGCAACAGGCGCAGCGGCGCTATAGCCTAGCGGAATCGCACAGCAACCCTCTGTTGCGTGATTCAGTGGACTACACAGTCGAGCAAGTTCGCAAGCACAAAAGGCCGCGGCTCGCACTGTAATCAAAATTAACTCGTGAACTTAGAACAACCAAAATTGGAGCATTTTTACACAATCTTTAGAAAAAATCAAATATTTTTAGACCATATCAAAATCTGTGAAGCGATTTTAACAATGCCTAAACGCTGCATATCCTAAAAGATTCTCTTCTTCCCCTTTGCTCTCGTTCTTCCTTCTCTCCTTTCCTTCCCCTTTTTTCCTTAAAATTGTCTGGTTTCTGGGTTACCAGACCTGACAGACTTACAAACTGACACTGTGACTCAAGAGCTAAGGTCCCACGGACCGCTCTGACAACCAACGATGACTTGACGATGACTTGACTGAAGAGGTTTCTTGTCATCTTGGCTGTTCTCAGGTTCGATGATATAACCACTCGAACCCAAAGGAAAGAAGTAGATCCTGCAGCTGCGATATCTTCCATTTTTGAGCAATTTGTGAAGAACGCTCAGAACTGCTATTCCATCGGCGAACTAGCATGTATTGATGAAATACTGGGTGGATTCTGCGGTCAATGTAAATTCAGAATGTATATAGGGAGTAAGCCAGAGAAATACGGCTTGAAAATTCAAATTCTAACTGACGCACATACAAGCTATTTTTGTAATGTCTATATTTATACTGGGAGAGGAGGAGATGGATTCACTCTCTCTGAAGAAGAAAAGAAACAAACTATCAGTACCCACTCAGTTTCTCGTACGCCTTTCTCAGCCCATCATAAACACTAATCGGAATGTTACAGCGGATAACTGGTTTTCTTCTGTTGAGGCTGTCCAAGAACTGAAAAAACGAGGACTTACGTACGTAGGAACAATGAGAAGGAACAAACGACAAATTCCACCACAATTTCTGCCTAAAAATTCTAGAGAAGTGGGATCATGCTTGTACGGATTTACTAGAGAAGTTACACTTTTGTCATTTGTTCCAAAAAAACACAAGGCTGTTATCATGATATCACTTCACCATCAACAATGCACTGATCGGGAAACTGGGAAGCCCGAAATAATTGCTTTTTATAATAATACGAAGGGCGGGGTTGATTCATTGGATCAAAAATGTGCAGCATATTGCACCAACCGTAGGACTAGGAGGTGGCCCATGGCTGTTTTCTATGCTATTCTGAATATCGCTTTGGTCAACTCATTCATAATTTACAATTCAAATGTTGAAAATGAAAAGACCACGCGTTTCTGTTTTGTCAAGACCCTAGCAAAAGAGCTTATTTCGCCCCATTTAAACTCAAGGCTGGCCAATAGCAGACTCCCACGAGATCTACGACAAGCAATTTCAAAAATTTTAGACCACCCGATACCTTCGCCACCAGCAAATGAAACTGAGCCCTATAAACGGAAAAGATGTGGCATCTGTATTTATCAAAACGATAGAAAAACTAATTTACGATGTATGAGATGTAAAAAACCCGTTTGATTAACATGTGTGGAAAAAATATGTGTTCAATATGCCAGGGAGTAACTTTTTATTTTTTTATTTTCCTCAAGTTCAAGTGCTGTAGTTTTCTAGTATATATTTTTCTAACCTGTTTAATTTTTTTTATTTCATGCTTTATCAATGTTGTTTCACCAAACCCATATTATAACGTCTCTTATAATGTATATAAAGAATTTAATAAAGTATGTTGTTTGACAAATATGTGAAGTTTTTTTTAGTTTTCTTAATTTATTTTTAAGAAATACAGATAATCTTCAAAATTGTTTGTAGAACTTTGCTATTTGCCTCGGACTATATAATAGAGTTAGACAATTATACAATTGAACAATATCTAAAATACATACAAGAATATAAACAAAATAATATGTGGGTCTGAGAGATCCAGCGTCACCTAGAAGGGTTTATCTCTGGTCACCTATAACGTCACTCGAATGGCACGTCAACAGTTAAGCGTTAATTAGTGAGTTCAAGTATGTCGGACCTACGGCTTACGCGCACCCACCAAAAGATCAAAACAGTACTTCCCGCGTCATCTAGTGAGTGGCGCTTCAACTCATCACTCGATTGCTACTACCAGGCAGTTACCCTACATTACCGACCGTGCGGGAATCTACAGGTTTTTGTTACCAACCACGGAGGCAAGACGCAATTCTTATTAGTGATGTAAATACTCGGATGATTCAGATACTCGGTTATACAGAATCGGCATACTAAAATACTCGGCTGATTAATATGAATGAATTCATTCGTATCAAGGCGGCAAGGCAACACCGAACCGAGTCACCGACCACTGACGAACGAAAACGAACCGGGGAGTCACCCGATGCAAGGTTGATGCGATACTGCTGTGGTTGACTGGTTGCGGATATCATTTGATTTAATTCAGGTTGATATACTCGTAACGAATAGATAATTTGTATTCTCACTGATTCGGCAAATAAAATTTCAATCCAGAAGATGGCTCCTGCAATAAAATCTATAGTGTGGACATTTTTTCAAAAAACCCAAGACAAAAAGTTTGCCGTATGCAAATTATGTCAACAACAATTGAAGTACTTTGCCGGCACCAGTAATTTGAAGCAGCACTTAAATCGAAAACACATTATTCAATATAATGAAGAGCTCTCGAAAGAAAATACAATTTCCAGAGACGTAGATGAGAGTGGTGTTAATTTACCAACAGGAGGTGAGTCCCCAAATCCTAGGCAAGTTGAAACTGTTATTGATAATTTGGGTAGCTCTAGTACTCATAGCGTCAGTGCTCCTGTATTGGATCTGTCAAATATCAGGCAACCAGGTGTGGCAGAAGCATCTGGATCAAAAGTGACTAATATTCCGGATCCAGATCCGCCTCGAAATGTGAAAAGAAAGCGCCAGTTGAAGCTTTATGGTGGAACAAATATGAAGGATCTACCAGAGGAACAAAAAAAAGAAATAGATTTAAGCTTATTAAAAATGATAGTAAAAGATTACCAGCCACTATCTATAGTAGAAGACATTGTTTTTTTAGATTATTAAAAAAAATGAATCCTTTATACACAGTGCCGAGTAGATACGTCTTGACAAACAATATTTTGTCAAATACGTATTCCTCGGCAGTTACAGAGCTGAGAATAGTTCTGAGCAATGTGAGATATGTCTCACTCACGACAGACATGTGGCAGTCTGATAGCAACCAGTCATATTTATCCCTAACATGTCATTTTATTAATAATTCAAAGCTACAATCAAAAATCCTAGGCGTGAAAGCATTGAGTCATGCTAGTCATACCGGAAAAAAATATTGCTGACGATTTAATCAGTTCAATCAACAAATGGGAGCTCTCAAATAAAGTTGTAACAGTAGTTTCAGACAACGGAGCAAACATAAAAAATGCAATTACTGAACAATTACGTTTTCACCACCATCCCTGCTTAGCGCATACACTGAATTTATCTACAAAAGAAGCCCTAAATGGTAATGATGACCTAAATAGGCTCATCATAAAGTGCAAAAATTTAGTAGCCCATTTTAAACATAGCGGACTTGCTACAGCTACTCTGAAAAAATGTCAAGAACAAATGAATTGCTCTATACTCAAAGTAAAACAAGCGGTTGACACAAGGTGGAACTCGGTGCTAATTATGATAGAAAGGTTGTTGGAGATTAAGGATCCACTGACAATAGCACTCACGAACCTGCCCTCTGCCCCCGAACCAATAGAGGCATCAGAATGGGTCATAATATCTGACATTGTACCAATTCTGAAGCCCCTCGAATTGTTAACAGTCGAACTTTCGGGTGAACAATATTTAACAATGTCCTCGGTGATTCCACTGATTCGAGGATTACAATTTCATTTGCGAAATATTCAACCTGCAACAGATATTGGTTTGTGGCTGCAGAGTAAACTATTAGATGTGATTTCGAGACGTTTTAGCATTTTAGAATCAAATAAAATTATAGCAAAAAGCACTTTTCTCGATCCACGGTTCAAAAAAACAGCTTTTGGATTGGAAGAGAATGCCAGAAATGTCCAGGCATGGATTACAGATGAGGTTGCAAGCATGATTGCAACTAAAACGGAAAATGCGACCCAACTCAACCTAACACAAGCAGGAAATGATAGAGCTCCCTTGCAAAAACAGGGAAATTTATCACTACGGGCCCATTTTGAGAGTAAACTCGCAGAAGTTGCGATACAGTCAAAAACTAAACCAAGCATAATGGCCACTCTGTGTGTAAGACACTATTTAGAATTGCCTCACATCGAAAGGAGCGCAGATCCACTGTTATTTTGGGAAGAGCACAAGCATATGATGCCAGAACTATATGAGCTCCATAAAAAATACTTGTGTGTACCAGCTAGTTCGGTTCCAAGTGAAAGAGTTTTTTCAAAATCGGGCCAAATTACCAATGACAGGAGAAGTAGATTGTCACCAGACAATTTAGATATGATTCTATTCCTTAATTCAGTTCTTTGAACTCTAATAATTATAATATTTTCTTAGTCAAATCATGTTACCAAAGCATTGGTGATATATACGTTGTTTTTCAAGAAGAATATTTTATTTCATTTTTGCATGTAAAGTGAGATGTTTTTTCTTATTTTTTAATATTTTATATATGAAAAGTTTTTTATTTGTTATTTGTCTGTAGTTTTCTTAAATGTGATTTTTTATTTTTATATGAACTGCAAGATATTTTATCTTATATTTAAATCTTATCTATGTAAGTGGCTATTTTTTATTTATATTTGTTTTTTTTGTTAAATGAGTTCCTATTTTTGTTTATTTATAAAATAAAACACCCTATATATTAACTGTACTGTTTGAATCTTACGGCAGGTCGCATAATATTAGTAGTATGAGAATTGACCATCCGTTTTTTAGGCCAAGAATCTCGGCAACGGTGTATCCTATTCACTATCATTTTTCCTATTTTTATTTAACTGATATTTTATCTCACTTCTCCACATTTATATTCGCATTCGAATTCGTTGGAATCGCTTACACGCTTACGCCTCTTCTCTGAGTCACCAAATAATTCAGATCATTTCATTCATATTGTGAGAGATACCGGATACCGGCAACTGAGCGCATGCATTCGTATTCGCGATCGCCGATCGCCGGGCCACCCCGTCGTTCGAAGAGAATGAATTAATACTCGTAATTCCTATTAATTCAGCTGTGCGCGTGGCACATACTCGGAATCATCCGAGGATTTCAATACTCGGAAGCAACGAGGATTTTCATTCGAATTCTTACATCACTAATTCTTATGATGGTGCCACAAAAGACAGACATTATTAGAAAAGTATTGTAACCTACATTGGTGTTATAAACCTTCGTAAACCGAAGCAGGTCTAGTTATCCCATCGGTAGACCCTCAGAGTGAGTGCTTTACAGCTTATGTCGAGAGACTTCCTCATAGACTTCATTAATTTATATAGAGAAAATCCATGCCTTTTGAAGGCAAAATCCAAAGAATTATCGGACAAACATAAGAAAAATGCGGCATATGAGATACTCATAGAAAAATTAAAAGAGGTAGATCCCGCAGCCAATAAAGATGCCGTAATAAAAAGAATCAATTCATTGCGTACTGTAAAACGGGGTTACTTTTCACTGAGCAGAGTAACTTTGCACCGAGCATGTAAAAGTATGTTCTCTGTAATCCTACCCTTTGTTTCGTTTAGATATTTCTGCTACCTCTAGAGCACATAGGCAACATTGCAATACGCACCTGACACGCGCGCGAATGTTTCACAGGTCATCAGTCAAGTGTCAGTAAAGGCAAGGCCTGAAGCCCTGAAGATTAACCTCGAAATTTTATTATTTTCCCGCTTTGCAAAATTATACTGTGCAGAAAGTTCCAAAGGACAAAAATTGGTAAGTACACAAACATATAATAGCATGTACCATAACCGATTGCGATTCATAGGTGTTAAAATAACGATTAACAGGACAGCATCAAAAATAATATTTTTCTTTACATGTGCACTTAACACGTGAAATTGGGTATACTTTGCACCGCTTGAGTGGGGCGAAGTATCCCCAACTTGCCACGTCAAAACGGTGCAAAGTATCCTTATTCGCAATGGTAAGATATAACGAATTGTCAAATGATTGGTTTTCAGAAAATGCCCAGACGTTATAAAAGGAAGCTGGGATCTCGCAAATATGCAGAATACTCAGAAGAAGATTTGAATGCATGTTTGTTAGCAATAAAAGATGGCATGACTACAAGAGTTGCCGCCGAATGCTTTAATATTCCAAGGAGAACTATTTTTTATAAATTAAAAGGCGTTCACGCTAGAAAACCTCGATACCCATCAATTTTCTCTTATGAAGAAGAAAGATGTTTCGTAAGATACATCCATAGTCTTAGTGATTCTGGTTTTCCTGTTACTGAAATGGAATTGCGACATATAATTAAGACTTATTTAAATCGCCAAGGTAAAAAAATAGCTCGCTTTAACCCTTTCAAGCTTTGTGGTGTCACCATGACACCACCTTTTTAATAATTTATCACGGTGCTGCGGAGTGGTTATCTGCCGATACCACCGTGTAAGAAGTAGCACTATATTGCCAACTAGTATGAAAAAAATTATTTCCATAGGACGCCATTCCTAACAGCTTGTTATTTGACATTTATCGATTTGTTTTCGCAGTGTGCAGGTCAATGGCGTGCGTGGTCATAAATTGAGTGTTTATTTCAAAAAATAAGGACAGAATGGCGGGTAAGTACTATATTTCATTGTATTAGGTATTGTTTTATGTTAGTATCATAGGCACACGCGATTTTATATATTTTTATTGGTTGCTTTGAATAAAATTAAGGTGGTGTCAATTGATACCACATAGCAATCAATGCCTAATATTTTCGGTGATTTTGGATTTTTGCCTTGTATGTTTGGCAGTGTGTTTGTGTAATTAGTGGGCGTATTTTTCTGTTTTTGAGTAACTTGGTTGTTTTGCTGGGTTAGTTGATTTGCCGTCAGTTCGGTAATTGTGAAGTTTGCGGCGGAATCGAAGTCGATGGAAAAACTATTTAGACTATTGGTTGGTGGGCTACTTGTATGTTGTTGGTATGTTTGTTTATTGGTGGGTGTACTTTTGTTTTTGATTCAATTATTTTACTAAGTTAGCTGCTTGCGTGGATAGTGACTAATTGATTGGGGATTTTGTTTCAGGGAAAAAGTGGTCTTACAAAGAAATGGAAAATATGACCTATGAAGAGTACAGAAATATATTTTTTGAGGACATACCTTCAGGAAATGAATCGGAGGATGATCAAAATGGGTCAGATGAAGACGTGCATTTTGCAGCACAAAAGCGGAACAACTCCGTACGCGATGGTCGTGCAGTACTTGCAATGTCGGTTTGTGTCTCACTGACCAAAAAAATTGCTTTGAAAAATATCATAGCAAATAAGTTGTATGTTTTTACTTCAAACTCCTTTTTATAACATTATCTTAATTAAATATATGTTTCAGTAATATCTGCATTGTATTATTTTAGTGCTTGGTGGTATCATGGTGATACCACCTACTAATTCCTTTTTCTCCAAATGGAAAAATTTTCTGGGCTATTTTTAATGCTTTTGAGATCTTATCACTTCATTTTTTTCAGCTATAAATGAAATAGCTTAAAAATTTAAAAATATGCCTTGAAAGGGTTAAGGATAATACTCCAGGTATGGATTGGGTCAAATCATTTTTAAATCGTCATAAGGACCTAACTGGCCTCGAACATAAAAAGAAGTAGAGCAGCATTAATTGGTGTGGAACCACATGCTATTTTTAATTATGATGAGACTAACTTAACCGATGATCCCGGACAAAAAAGATATTAACTAAACGTGGAGTTAAATATCCCGAAAGAATTTGTAATTCCTCAAAGAGCGGCATTTCTCTTATGATTTGTCGAAATGCAGCTGGTGAACTATTAGCGCCGTATGTGGTGTACAAATCCAAGCATTTGTGGGACACCTGGTGTGAGACTGGTCCCCCTGGTACACGTTATGCAAATACAGCATCTGGTTGGTTCGAATCACAGACCTTCGCAAATTGGTTTAACAGTATTCTATTACCCAGGCTTAAAAAAATTCAGTGAAAGAAGGTCGTTTTAAGAGACAATTTGTCTTCTCATATTAATGTTGAAGTCTTGGATTTGTGTCGAAAACACGACATTCGTTTTATATGCTTGCCTCCAAACAGCACCCACGTTACACAACCGCTAGATGTTGCATTATTTGCCCCTATGAAAAAAGCCTGGAGGGAAATCTTATCTCAATATAAGGTAACTCATATAGGTAGTAGGTCAAATGTACTTGAGCTTTGGACCTTAAATTTGACAATATATGATTCAACAAACAATTTGTCCTATTGCTTGGTATGGGATGAATCTGAGGCTGGGAGAGGAGGCACCGAAATCGCATCTGCATTGATGAAGTCGGCTGAAAGTACCATTTCTCATACTACCATAGAACATCTAATAATTTGGTCGGACAACTGCCCCGGTCAGAATCGTAATATTGTTATGATGCTCACCTATCTATGGCTATTGAAGATTTGTCTAAATTTGAAGACTGTTGAACACAAATTCTTGCTACGAGGTCAAACACACACGGAGACGGATCACGTACATGCTCTGATTGAAAGATCATTAAAAAAGCAACCAACTATGGAAATTTGCACACCTTGGGACTGGCAGCAATTAATTAGATCAGCAGGTGCAACTGTCATAAAACTAAATCTTGCTGATCTCAAACATGTGAATTACTTGTACAGTCAACCTAAAGCCCCGTTTATTAATAGAAAAAAAATACTCAGAAAGAAGATTTTCCTATATCAAACGTTGTATATTTTCGAATTCAAGCTGATCATCCCAGCACAGAGTTTTACAAGTTAAAGTTTAGCAATGAAGAATTTAAAACTTTGAATGTTACAAGGTCCATGCGAAACCCAGTCCCATTGCCTGTAGAGTTAGTAGACCTGCGCAGTAGCTTAAAAGGAATAACAAAGAAAAAGCACGATTTTCTGATAAAAAGTTTTCAGTGGGTTCCCGAGCAGTTCCATCATTTTTATAAAAATATCCCGGGTTGTAAGAAGGATGGCGAAGAAACCTCCTAAGAGGAAGGGAATGATAATATTTTTTGTTGGACTGAGCTTTTGATATGAAGTAAAAACATGTTTTTCATTATTCAGTGCATTGCAATAGTGTTCTAATTAAAAATTGAAAATAGTTTTCTAATATAAGGCTATATTATTACTTAACACCTGTTTTTTAGATACAGCTAAAAAGCAGTAAGTCCATAATCAAAGTACAGGTAGATATTTATAAAATAATACAAATGGGTATTGAAAGAGCTCATATTAAATAGCATATAACTACAGTTCTGGAACATTTATCAAGTTTTAAACTGAGCCAGCATTTCTATCTGTTTTGCACATTTCTGGCCGTTCTCTTTTATGGACATACAACTATTTACCTCTCGGGTACATATATACAAGTCATATTAATGTTGGGTTCACCTCCACTTGATCTTGTTCATAACTAAACCATCAATCGTAAGGTATAATCCCCATATTTCTCCGTCCAATCGAAACCACGTGTTAAAAAAATCTGTAAACGTTTCCATCTCAACAGTGAGATTTTTTAAACACATCTGGTTTTGATTGGCCAGAAAAATATGGAGGATTATAGGCATGAAAACCACAGGATATTTCAGATGTTACATCAGATACCATATATTTCAAATATTCCAATTGATGATAGTTTTAAACTTAAGTTTAAAAAACAAGTAACTAGTATTATGCATTCATTTAACAACACTGATTTATTGAAAAAGATAACTCGTCATTTAAAAAGGTGAATTAGTAGTCATCTGAAAAGAGGCTTATCTTACAAAAGGTTAGGTTTTCTATAAGTTGCATAAAATATTGGTAGGGAGATGAAAAAGTAAATAAATGAAACCTTGTATTGGATACACTGTCGTCTACAAAATTGTAAAACGCATATATAGTTCTGACATGCGATAAAAAATGATGGATTCGAAGATTTCAGAAAGCTACAAGTGTTTCTCGATTTTCTGAATGGTTTTGGGTGAAATAGTAACAGGAGCAGTTCAACGCAGCAACATTTTGTACCTTTTTTAGCTTTACTATTGGGGGGTCTATAATTCCTATATGGTTTGTTTATGTTCATATAAGAGGTGTGTAGGTCTATTCACGGCTTTTGACGGTTACGTCACAATGTCATAAGCAATAAATGTACAGACTCACTAATTGTATTTAATTTGCAGCTTAACTGTCCTGTACAAGCTGATCCTTAACGTAGCTACTACTCGCTCTTGCATATACACATGAACTGGGAGACTGTTGATTTCATTCACTTTATAGGTTTGTTCCATCAAGCAGTACTGGACTAATTCAGAACCAATCCCTAATGATTTATCTGCGCATGCCGGACGTAAGTGCAGTTCAGAACTAGTTCCAAATTATTGTATTGTATCTCAGAATATGAAAATACTCCAATAAACTTAACACAGACTCTTGACATTGTAGTTGTATCTTCAGGCATTGCGATGTTTTATATCTAACATCAACAGCAACACGATAAACTAAATTTGCATGCCCATAAAAGGAAGTTGTACTGACCATGTCAAGCATAAATGTGGAAGACTCATTAGTTGTGAAGATGTTCAAGGCGGCGAAACAAAACTAAAAAGCGTATCCTTGTGAGCTTACTGAAACAGACGTTTACGCATACAGGCCGATTGCATATAGATGATGGATAAAAGTAATTGCTAGAATTTTACTGTAACCCGTCAAAAACCGTGTGGTTGTGAACAAACATATTTGTACAATTCAGTTAGCTCCAAATAAGGAACTCAAAAAAAATTATCAAATGTAGTCTATGTGGGAATTAATATAACAACCTTATCTCGAACTATCGGGGCTAATGTCTGGGGGTATCCTGAAGCATCATGCATTGATCGAGTACCTTTCTCGAGAGATTTTTCTTAAAACTACTGTTTGGTGACTGGCCCCCGTTCATCAATCTGTCCACTCGAGGTGTTTCAAGCTCAGATTTGAACGATTCTTTCAAACTACAGTACATGTCCATAGCTTTACTGGTTCGAGGACTTTGGTACCTGTAACGATGCAATATTGATTTTATATACAATGCAGGTGCTTTTAAATACAAACATATACTCAGTGACAAGTAAACTGATTTTAATTGAATGAAATTATACATACAGTTAGATATATGCAAGACAAGGTCGTGATTAAGTTTTGAAGTCAAAACATTGTTATATCCCAGGATATTCCCTAAAAATGCCGTAATATATTCGTCAGGCCGTTGGGGCATATTTCTGAAGAGATGATTTATGCCTTCACCTTCATCCCAAGCTAGCTGTACTTGATTCCGAAGACCTGCCAGCGTTTATGGAGGAGGAGCTAAATAGGTCAGCCTTCTTCCCATCATATTCGACATATGTTCAGAGGCCGAAAGGTCTGTGGGAGGTCAAGAAAGTATGCTGGCTTGAGCGTTGTTGCTTGATTTCAATATTCCAATAATACCTATCCCCCATACAGCCTCAATGGACTACCGCAATAATGCTTACGACAGCCTCCTTTCTTGGTCTCCTAGATTTTAGACCTTTCATTCATTGAATATATGAAGGAATTGAATAACAACCATCTAAATTCTTTACAAATAATACAAAAATTATTCATAAACATAATAAACCTTTATTATATCTCTGCAAGTCTCTGTTTATACAATCAAAACTTTTAAATGTAAAAAAATTATTTTGGTATAATGTTATGTTAGAATTCTATAAAAACAAACATTCGACCATTTATAAAAATTATGAAAATGATACTAAAAATAGAAATAAATGAACATCAAATAAGTAATAATGTTTAAATATTTTACATACTTGCCAAAATTATATCATAACTTACCAAAATATATTAGAAAAAACCGAATTATTAAGGATAGATATTTATACGAGTGGCTATTGAATAGTGATATAAACATGATGTAATTTAAAATAACTCTTATATATTTGTATATATCTTTTCCATATTACTAGTCTACGATACAAAATTAAAGTATAACATTTATATTATATGGATTTTTTCTAGCCCTTATCAATAAATTTATTGTAACTACTGTGTTATATGTTGTATGTGTTAGAATGATACCCACACACAAGGATATTTTCCTTTTGTGGCATATCAATATATTCACAATTTATAATTGATGTGAATAAATATTATTATTGGCCGAGTGCTCTCAGGTCTCGAAACCAAGTAAAGCTAGCTTGGGATGAGATACTTCAAGAAGACATAAATCACCTCCTAAGAAACTTATCCCTGCGGGACAGCCCAACACAAAATTAGGGAAGTTCTCTTCAAAATTTAATCATGAGTTCCTCTTGCTTGTATTTACATGAATGTGAAATTTCATTCAAATAAAATCATTTTACCTGGTGTGGTATTTTTTTGTCACTGGGCATATATGACTTTGCATAAAGTTTCAACTAGAACAAACCTGGCGGCCATATTCTTCTTTAATGTAGATTTTCGCAGATCGGATATGACAGGAGACACTGCCGGTTTGCTGTCCCGTAGTGGCACAGGTGATTTGTTCTGCAGTCTGTTGGACCTTCGAATGATTCTCGGACTATTTTCCTTATCAGCTACAGGCTCCACTTGATTTTCTGAAATCAAATGGCAATATCAATACAGGGTGTCCTACATCAAACTTCATCGATCGATTGCTCTAAAAGTTGGCGCGAGACAAATATGAAAATGTTCATTCGTCTAAAATATTTTCAAAATGGTGGCACATCCGATTCTATCGGAAGTAGATATCAACTTGCTTATTTTAAATGTAACACTCTAACGTTACTCAATTTTTTACGTCAAAGCGCGATTCTAAACACATGTATAACATCATATACATAACTCTGACTGTTTTTTTGAGAAATATCAAATTCTGTGCAAAAAATCACAAACACAGACACATAAAAGTCTACGATTTTTCATATATTATTATTGCATTGTAACTGCGCCCTTATAGAAAGGGGTCAACTTTAGTCGACTTGACTTGATAGTTAATAATACAAAGTGGTCAAAAAATCGGATGAAAATGAAATTGTAACAACTGATAGATCATTTTTTTAATAGAAACTCCCTGTTTCTATAATATCATGTTGAACAATACAAATTAGTATAGTTTTGTATGCAAATACTTATTTTCTATCCCTTTATGCTTTTTTTATATTTCTTAAAAATGATTAGACTATGTATAGGATGTTATGCATGAGATGTGTATAGAATCCTGCGCAGAATTCAAAAATTGGATAACACGAGGGTGTTCCAATAAAAATGAGCAAGTTGTTATCTACTTCCGGTACAACCGAAAATGTCACCATTTTTATTATGAAAATATTTTTGCAGAATCTCTCATTTCTGTTATACTATAACTCCAAGTTTTCATAATAGGAAATAGTAATGTGATTCAGATATTGGTTATTCATTTTTATTCACAGTCTATATTGCTACAGAAAGTCTCCTTCAACTTCCTACAATTGTAGGATGCCTTTATGGCCTCCTTGATTTCCATAATCTTGTCTCCTTCATTAAGGCGCTTGTGTGGCTGCTTTAGATTTCTACCGTGCCGACAATTCTGATGTTAGGTTATGTTTTTATTTTGACGTTTACAAAATTTTAGACAGATGAATCAAATGCGGAAGCATATTTTCTTGCAAATGATGCAATACTTTCTAAAATTGTTGGGTAAGGAAAATCCATATCTGGTGTTAATGGTCTGAAAATGAACAATTTAATGCACATGGATGTGTTTGTATATATAAAAGCCCAAAAGCTTACAACCAAGCTGTTCCCTGGTTGGATGTAAGTAAGTTACAAAATTAATCATATTGCATATTCATATTTATATACTTATCACATTTTGTTATCCATTCTCCCAGACATTATGAGAAGTCGGTTCATCCATGGATAACAAACATTGTAATCCAAGTGCAAATGCATATTGTTGATGTCAAAGATGCCTGTTCACAAGTCATTGTAGGACTCTGGATTGTATAAAGTGTCAGGCTGCAAGTATGTATTATGTGCAAATGTGTGTATGTGAAGATCATAATTACTACTTACTATGGTTATTTCAGGATGCTCAAAATACCATAGTCATGTAGGATTACCAAAGCTGAAGTATTACAAAGAGTTTCAGCATGAAGTTAAATCAGAAAAACCTCATGGCATAAAATTCCACAATTAATTACAAATGGGAAAATACAAAAGACTAGATAAGCAGAAAAGACCCATTATTTTGAAAATTTTACCTCAAAGTCAGACTAGGTTATGCCCTAATAAGTAAGATAATAAGGTAAATATATGTCTTGACACTTGACATAATTTATAAAGTCATAATTCACTTATCATTACAAGTAGGTGGACGCTGCAACTGGCAAATGAAAATTCACATCATTATCATGAACTTAACATGTAAGACCCATTTTAGGCAAAAATGAACTCAATCTAACCTGGCTCTAAGGTACAGAATTTGAGTTGAATTTAAACTGCTAGGTATAAGTTGTGGTTTTAAATTGCTATCAATAATGGAGACTCGAGCTGCTGAGCATACCAAGTGTAGTGAGCATCAAAGGACAATATGCTATATTTATCAAATGTGTTGCAACATTTATTAATGTATATGAAAAAAGTAAGGCAACTTAAATACGCTTTCAATTGAATTCAATTCAAATCTCAAACCAAAAAGTGTTTTAATTGAATTTAACCTGATCCGGGAAAATCTATCAAAACTATGGCATAGGAATAGAATACATTTTCTGGTTTGGAAAGAAATATCAGGAATTGAACAGGTTTGATATTTGAAATACTCGTATGAAAAGCAGAGTTTGTTAGTTATGATAGAAACAGTAGAAAAAATATGAAATCTTTGGATCAAAAGTCTGCATTTATCTCTTGTAGTATTAGTAGCTGTGTTTCCTAATTGTACACGTATCAAGAGACATTTTTTAATTTCCACCAGAGATGCTATTAGGGAATTTCACCTGCGTATTTTGACAGACAGCGATGATATCCCACTAATTTCCCTATTATTGAAATTTTCATTCACATCTAAGCAAATTTAGTCACTTGAATTTTTTCAATCTGTTGTATGGTTTTCATAAAAATAAAAACTGTTTCTCTCTTCGACTATAACAATATACTTAATATGACAAAATCACCAAGTAGAGAATTTTTTTGTTGGAAATCGTGAGTCTGACCAAAAAAATTGAATTATTGATTTTTTTAGCATGATTCACGGTTTTCACCTAAAAATACAATCTATCTCTACATAGTGACATTGTCATACGCGATATTAGGATCATGCAAGGAAATGTTATTTTGATTTTTTAAGCAAATACCGTGCATCAGGTTGAAAAAAATAAGCAATCAAATTTGCTTAGAAATCACTGATGATTTCAAGAGTAATTTTTATTTTAAGAGAAATCAGTTTCGTACTATCAGCGACTGCCAAAATAGGCAAGTGACATCCGTAAGAACGCCACTGATGAAAATTAAAATGGAATCGTACATTAAAAAACCCATTGACGTACATGTATGCCAAACTTTAATAAAGTATTTAAAATGGTACTACAGATCTTAAATTATTAGTAATTTTTGGAAAGTTGACCACTCCGTTTCTCAAAAGTGAAGACATTTAGGACAAAAGATCATATGAAATTTTCTTCTTAAAATGACCCAAAAATTGCCGCCTAAAATATTGAAATTCAATTGGAAAACAACCTGTATATTTTATGTAAGTAAATCAAAAATTATTAAAGGTTATTGTGATACACTATTGTTTTTTTTGCTATATATTTGTTCATAGTTCCTGTAATTAGTTGTACCTTGATATAAAGTTTATTATTATATTAGTGATACTTATGTCTAATCATTTTAGCAAATTTCCCCGAAATGATTGTAAAGTCTGGTTTTATTGATTCAAGTTGTTCAATGGGGTATTTAAAACATCGACACAGAAAATGGGTACACCGTGTGTGGGAAAACTTTTTATTCAACAACAAAGAATGAGAAAAAGTGTTTTTTGGGATTCAATCTAAAGTGCTGGTGGCAGGAAAGAAAAAATAAGATTTTTCGGTATTTACGAGACCTACAAAATGAGACAACACGTAAAAAGATCCGACTAATAGCAAAAAACGTTATGGCCGAAAAACGAGGCAAAATGCAGACTTTGGCACTTGTTGGTAATGCGACGATAGTTTCACGCAACTACTTGAAATTCCTCAAACGCAATTACTTGAAATTCTTCAAATCCGTAGGATTAATGCTTCTAAATAACCACAACAAAGCTGGATTAGATTGGTCAAGTAATTTTTGAGAATTTCCAATTGTTTAACCCAAAACACCAGTTTTCCTTCCATCACTTCTAGTTTATTGAACAATATACAGGGTTCGTTCAAAGGGCATTTAAGAGCAAAATACACGAGTTTACCTTCACGATAAGAATCACAAAGATAAATGCTATTTTTTGCGAAAAACAAAGGGTCACTCTTTTCTTACAAACAAATTCAAACATTTCGTATTTGTGAGTAATTGAACAAATGCGCCAAGATATGCGAAAAACATATGTTATTATACAGATTTTAAAACGAAACGGATGTGTCTATAACCTTTTGTTGTGGAGAGAAAAATTGTTTTCCAAGATGTCTTCATACTCTTATTCATACTACATATTCAGAGCTGAAATTTTTACACGGCTACAGATGAGCCTTAAAGTTTATAAAAAAAATATTTCTTACTGAAATGCACTGTTCACAAACTGAAGACAGAATAAATTATGTTTCAAACTGTCTTAGCCTAGTTAGTGTGTAGCATGTGCTAAATAGCTACATTATTTATGATTGCATGACTTTGTCACATAAGTAGGTCACAAAATCCAGTTTGTTCACGAAGAAATATAATTGCTTGGACCTTTTTTCTAAGAGTATTAATATAGTATACGTTTGTTTTCGAAATGTCGTACGATTGAAATGACTGCGAGTTCAAAATGTTGGAAAATAAACTCGAGAAAACGAGAGTAGACAAATATCAACCAGTTGTAGCGAATTGATCGTCTCAGAAAAATAGGATAAGCATTTTTCAGCATTGTATTTTGTATAGTTTGCGAGATTATTCTAATTGTTTATAAAAGATTTGAGGTGCCGCCGAAGTTCGCTTGAAATTTGTCGGTGTCAAGTATAGTGGGATTGAGTAACGATTAGATCCACAGGACGGAGGTTCAAATCCTCAAAGCTTCCTCTTCTTCTTCTATTAATTTTATTTAGATTTGGCGAAATACTTGCTTTTTCACATTTTGTGTAGTTTTATTGTGATCAAACTACTTTTCGCTCGCCATAGAGTATGGAGGCTTGCAAACAGGAAACCGGTATACGTATGATTCTTTATGCTTTTTTTAATATGACTTTGATAAAATTTCACAAACACTATGTCGGATCATAGCAGATAACGTATATCTTAGATGTGTAAGTTATTATCCAAAAATAATTAAATACATCCGAAATGTTGACTGCGATAATACGCTCAAATTTTCGACACGCGGACAAATTAGATACCTCTTGGAGCCACAGAGGATGCTTATAAAATTAAGTGAGTTAACGCACAGTTT